CTTAATTAATTATGATTAACTATTTAAATATCTGGGTTTAGTCAAAGCTTGTTTACTTATAAATTTTAATTTTCCAAAAATACTAATTTTTTATGACTTTTCATAAAGACAATCACACACATGACTATTCAGATAGCTTCTAACACTAAGAAAGCCTTCTAACTAAGCCTTCTAACACTAAGAAAGCCTTAAGAGCTATAAGATTAGTTTAATCAAACACATTTCTAGTAACTCTCCAAATTGTGTACTTTCCCTTCAATTTAAGAAAATCAACCATAAGAGGAATAAGAACTATGTGCTTTGTTATTCTGAAAAAGAGAAACAGAGACAAGCTGGATTGTCAGGGAAGAGGAGCTCTTTTGGAGTATAATATGCATAAAATTGTATTGTTGGAAAAAACACCATTTGTCAGCAGGCTATAAAGTAAAGATTCTTTGCTGAGAATATTCTAAGTAGGTGGTTAGTTGTTTAACTGCATTCTCTCTAACACAAAGTCATTCTTGTAACCTGCCTCAATGAAGGCAGCTCTACTTGAAAATACCACATTTTCAATCTCAAAGCAGGTCAAAAGGTAYGGGGATGGGGTGAGAAGAACAAGGAAGAACAAAAAGGGGGCTTAGGAAATAGTGAGGTTTAATCTCTTAAATACTTGGGTCATTTCCTGGGAGAAAAACATCCACTAAGAAGGAAAATCAAACCTCAAAAGAAAATACAGAGGCTACAAAAGACACTGGAACTAAGGTGTGACAGGAACAGAGAAAAGTATTGATTCATCTGTTACAGATTTTGTTAGAAACAGGGTATCTGTAAACACAGATAAGAAAATACACAACAGAAGAAAGTAGTTAAGACTTAATGAAGACTAAATAAACCATTAGGAATTCTGAAAAAGATTGATATAAGCCACATCATTTGATTCACTCAGAATATTCCCCTAAAGTCATCAGTATTCCATTATGTACCTATTTATTGACTTCTAAACTTCCGTGCAAGAATTACTGTAAGTTGGGCTGGGGATGTAGTTTGATGGTACAGGAGTATTGCCTTCACATGAGTGAGGCCCTGGGTTCAATATCCCATAATATACACACATGCACACACACAAATTGTTCTAAGCTTCTTGGGACATTTGCTTTTCTTATGTAATACACTCATCTTTGTTGAATTTTTGTCTGCATTAACTCTAATATGCTTCTTTAGTATTGACATATTTTCCTAAAAACTTGTTTTCCTAAATTTCTCATGATAATAATCTCACCTAAAAAATCAAAGTTGCTGTAGAAACACATACAATGTATATAAAGAAAGACAATATTGATAATAATAATATTTTTCACATAGCAATATTAAGAAAACATTCATAAATACTAAATGTATTTTAGTGTGTGTCACTCAATAGTGATGCATTCTTAGAAATGAATCATTAGGTGATTTTTGCCATTGTGTAAACAACTTAGAGTATATTTACACAGAAGTATCTGATATGACTTATCCTACACCTGGGCTGTGCAGCTGATTGCTGCAAACCTGTAACACATTACTGTACTGAATGCTGCAGGCAACTAAAACAAACCAAACATATTTGTGCATCTAAGCATATCTAAAATAGAAAAGGTGCAGTAAAAGTCCCAGGTAACAGGAATCCATCAGTTCCATTATAATTTCATGGGACTGCCATCATAAGTGTTCTGCCAATCACTACAATGTTCTATGTCACACGACTGTTCTGACATGTTTAACAGTTTGTGGTCCTAAATCCAAAAATGGAAATAGATATTACTGAATCATATAACAGAATAGAACTTTAATGGGTTTGTTTATTAGGTATTTAATAAGAAAACTGTCAAATATTAAATCCTAAATCTGAAGTTTGCCTTACACTAATGCAATAAAGGTCTTTAGAATGTGATGGACATCATTTTCCAAAGTACATGTATGAAGACTTGAATTGGGTGTTAACATACTTTATATATAAACAGACATGAAAAGTTGTGGGATATATGTGTAATAAGAATTGTAATGCCAAAAAACAAAACAAAGTACATGTATAAAAGCATGAATTGGCGTGAACATACTCTATATACAAAGATATGAAAAACTTTATTCTATATGTGTAATAAGAACTGTAATGCATTCCGTTGTCATGTATTTAAAAAATAAAATCAATAAAACTAAAAAAAGAATCATGAAGATATAAATAATAATAAAAATCATTTAAAACATCTTCCTCAATTACTCTTTAGAAAAGAGGCACATTCTAAATTCTAGGTAGTATTTTTAATGGCACAAAATAGCTAATGCCCCAAAACTCCATGAAATGTTTTGGGAAAAGGCATAGGGAAATTCAATTGCTCTAAATAATGGAGCAGAAGCTTCTTAATAATAAATAGCTGAGAGACTAAGAAAAAGGATCTAAGCCCTTGAAGCATCTGTGTTCACCACAGGCCATTACCATATTGCTAAAAATTATAAGAACTAAATATTAAAGAAGATTAAATAACTCACAAAAGTATAAAGGGAAAAATCTAAGGGGAGAAGAAATATAGCTTGTCCTGGTTCTGCCATTCTCTCAAAAGTCTACATTTTACATGAACACATATGTAGCCTGATTACTCTTCAGTAAAATGACAACACTCATACCTGCCAGGGAGGGTCTTGTGGGGATTCAATAAAATAATGTATGTAACCATTTAATCTATGTAGTAAATGACATGTAGCAAGTATCAATAAATGGTAAGAATTTTAAAGTAATGAATTTTTTCAGCATTGAAAAAATGCACTTTATGCTTAAGAAAAGAAAACAGTTGCATGTTGATCTATATTAGGATTAATCAACCAGGGAAGATCTAAGGATAAGATACTGAACATTTTAATGGCTTACTCATGCAAAAGAACCCAGCCTTTTTGTTAAATAGTCAGACCATTTTCTAAGCCCAGAGTGCCTGATTTTTGTATTGAATCAACCCACCTCTCCAATGAGCCACAACAGTTTACTTTAGAGTTTATACTTTCCTTTACATTATTTTCTTTTAAAATCATGTTGAATTTAGTAAATGAATTCCAATCCTGCATTACATTTTTAACTGAAACATAATGAAAATAATTTAAACAAACATGACCATGCTATATAGTATAAATTAAACCAACATATACAGTAGCTAGTAGGAACACCTAAGTTTATAATTCTTATTTAGTGGAAGAATCAGATAAATATTTTAATAAGCAACATATTCATAAGGCAGTCACTAAAGTTTCAGGATTATCAGAAATCTCCAATACAGGAATATTAAGGTAAAGAATTGAATTGCCCATTCCTAAATATTTATGAGAGAAAAGAAACCTGTGGTAAACCATGATCCTTTTAAAGTACATGAGCAAGTTCTTATTTATATTGAAGTGATAAAGTAGATGATATTTTACCAAGAGTTGGCATAGAATATTGGAGTAGAGATCTCAAAGAAATTCTATTGAAATACAGGAAACCAAAGAGACAGCTGTGAAGTTTGTTACTATTAAAAAATGAAGATGAAATCTACAAACTGACATTTTACTTCTGCTTTCATGTTTCAAAGTATGAAAATGAAAAATATAAATGTAAGTTTTTTAAAAAAAGAGGTTCACCTTATTGTATATTTTAATAAAATGCCTTCCTAGAATAAGATTCTACCTTATTTCTATGTATTTAATAAGATCTTATTATGCAACCCAGGTATAACTATCCCACTTCCAAGATGGCCTTTGAATTTCATTTCTTTAAAAATTCACTCTTGAACAATAAATGTTCAGTAGGAGTTTTATATTTTTCATAGAAGGGCCTATAGATATAATAATTTAAGAAACATAGTATAATTGAGATTTCAACAAAATGCTTAATGCTTTTTCATAACAAGGAAGATCAGTATATTAAACTTTACTAGGTTTAACTTTCTCTAATCAACCACACTACAAATAACAAAAGTTGAAACTGTCTCTTGATCTCTTTCATTACGATTTTTAATTTTCAATTTATTTCTTGGTGGTCAAATTTCTATTTTTGAAGCATGTTGATTTCTAACTCCTGAGTAAWGTGTTGCTGCTTTAAATAAGTGCAAAACAGGCAAGTTTAGAACTATCTCTTGGCTCAGTAAACCAGCTGATCCCCAGATATTTTGCTCCTTCTGAGACATCAAAGGAAGCTGGAACCTGGGATTTGTTTATGATCCCAGGTGTTTTCTATCTTTGGGATGAGCTGAATATCTAAAATGAGACTACAGGATTTCCTGAGTGATTTTCACTAAAAAAAAAAAAAAAAAAAAATCCCATGAATAATTAACTAGTCACTTCAAAAAAGTTTTTGCGATGGTAAGTCTTCCTTTGGGTAAAAAATTCAGAAAATGTTCCACTTCAGATTGTTTGATACTTCATTATTCCTAAAGAAAAAAAWATATATATTCCTGGCCCATATCATATATCTGACATAAAGCTTGCAAAGATATCCTTCTGAAGCTTTAAAAAAGTATACTGTGAAGAATGCCTTAACTCATAAAATCCTTGTACCTGTTACAGTCTATTTCCTCTGGAATATATTTCTAAGTCTCCAAGTATTGACAGCATGTGAAGTCTAGTTATAATTGCTTCTATGAAATTCAAAAGTAATCAATTTCTGTACCACTATATGTACATTATTTACCTATTTTCCCATTTGCTCAGACCTGGACAATGCAGGATTGGCATGGTTCTTCTTCAACCTTTTCTTAAATACTTTATATTATTGTATCAAGAAAAGAGTGTCAAAATAGGTGTTGATGTATGGAAATATTAAAAATAAACACTGCAGGAATATGCAGGAAATATTTAATTCTTCCAGTGGTGGGGAAGGTCTATGATCCTCAAAAGCTAAAATCAGCCCCCTTTTTTCATTTGTATGATTACTTAAATTTTTTCACAGATAATGTTTTATAAATTCATGTAAAACAAAGATTAATATTTTTTMTTACAAGAAAAGACAGGAATATACATACTGTAAGGGACACATTCATACTGCACTTCAAGGTATTTATAGGTTCCTGGACATGGGTCTGGAAAAACATCAGGGCCTGCCACCACTGCACATTGGGTTCTGTTATTGCATCTGAAATAATAAAAAAAGAAGAAACAGTAAGTTTGTGTTAAGTTAAATCATTATCAACATCAACACTAACTTTAATTTAGTTCTAATTACCTATTTAAGTAAGATTTTGATGGACTTAGGGCTGTAGAGTGATTAAGGGAATCATTATCTATAGTATTCTTTTAAAAACTAGACATAAAAATCAATATATTCAGTTTTCTTATATTAACTAATGTTTGGTTGAATACATCATAATTTTGAGGCAAAAGTTAAGTTCTGCTGAAGCAATACAAACTGGTCCATAGAATATTGCCAATGTGAAGATGGGTAAGGAACATTGTTCAACAGGAAAGATCCACCCCCATTTCAAAAAAAATGTCCTGAAGAAAACATAACCAGAGTTTCATCAGTTATAAAATAAATTCACTGTTTGTGATGATATACATTTTAAAGACAGTGAAAAGTGACAAATTTTACCCAAGCCTTAAAAAAAATCAGTAAAAAGTTAATATTCATATATTAAAAATTTATATCTTAATTTATTTTACATATACTCCTTACTACATAAATGAAACCATTTTAAGAATTAGAATGTACACACAGGCATATGGCACAGTGAATTCCAATATCAAGTCTATCCACATGAAAAAATGAATAAATTGCCCAAAGATTATGAATAAATTGAATAAATGAATAAATTTCCCAAAGATCAGTAGAGTAGAGGAACAGGGTAAGGGATGGGAAGTGCTGGGGACTAACTTATAGCAAATTCTATTCCATACTTTTATGCTTATATCAAAATGTATCCTAATGATATATATAATATAAAAGAAATAATAAAAATGATTCATTCCCATTTTCCCTGCTGTTCAGTCAAATAATGACACTAAGTTCACAGATTATAGATCCCAAACGTCAATATCCTATCTATATAATTTAAAATTATATCTTATTATATAATTAGTATATTCTCTTATTATAAAGAAGATAATAAATATGATTATTGTAAAGAGAGATATAACCTGGGCACTTCTATGATAATTAGACTAATAGACCTGGACTTAATTTATTTTTCAGAAAAAATACATGTAATAAAATAATGTGAAAAAATACTGAAAAAGACACTCAAGTTCACAGGGACCTCACTGCTACAATTTTTACTTAAAATCTTTCTGTATTCAATTCTTCTTTCCATAAGTAAATTTTTCTGTAGAAAAACAATGGTTTATCCTAGCCGTAATACTGGCACAGAATGTATAGGATGAACCTATTAGTTATTCCTGGTTTATGTTTGTGTTTATTCACTTCAGAAGTGTTTATTAAGAAGTGTAATATAACCTCAGGGCTAAATGTTTTCCATTACTTTCTCAAAGAAACACTTCATCCCTGATGCAGTTCATATTTCATAACACATGAGGTATCTTGATTTAAAATGTTTACTCAAGGCTACCATTTGTCAGGCTTAATGAGAATTTTACTTAGTCCCTAAATTAAAATTGATTCATCAGTGATATCTTAAGCTGAAAATATATTCTATGCTATCAGTGAAAGATAAATAAAAGCCGATATACTCATTGGGCAGTTCAGACTAACAGTGGATTCTGAGGGTGAATGAGTTCTAAAGTTCCCCTGTGTGGATGCAGAGTCTGAGCAGATGATTAAGCAACTGTGTGATGACATTAGTGTAAATGTGACCATCCTCTTACATGTATGCCAAACTTACAACTTGATATTTTGGTGTACTCATGCTTCTTAAAAAGAGTGGTACATTCTTATTACAAAGATGATTCATTTGAAAAAGTTATCTCAAATTAAGTGATATAGTTTTTGCAATTATACCAAAACAATTTTCACTTTACATTATAAATTACATATAGATAACTTACATACAGATAACTTATCTATACGTAGAAAATTTGATAAGCAATCATTTGTTGTAAATATTAGTCACCATTGTGAGTTTCAAGAATCTTAATGTTAATTAAAGATACATCAAGGAAGCCTTCAATCAATGAGAATATGTGAAGAGGCATATAAACCAAAAATTATTATGACAGCAATATAGTCTTCATCATTGTTGTATACAAAACAACACTGCTTTACAAAATTCATTTGCAAAAATAATATAGAATTTTATTACTWTTTCTGTATCAAATGCTCTTAAAATTAAGGGAAAGGGCATATTCAATCCCTATAATATTATTTTTCTTAAGACAAATATTCTTCATACCTAATATTAAATGTATTTTTAGAACCACAATAAAGGATGACAAAAGAATGCAATAATATGTTCAAATACATCCTAATCCAGCAATACAGAGAAAACATCAAAAATGTATAAAAGTAATTGAATCATTATTTACAGTGATAAAAATTCAGAATTATTTTCATTGGAAACTTTCTGTGAAAACAATCTCCAAACCAACATTTGTGTCACCAGAAGATGACAGTAGTAAATATCATAGAGAATTCTTAAAAAAAAAAAAAAACTCTTGGAAATTCAGGTTTCAYAAAAACATTAGGCCAGTTTTTGCTGCTGCTGTTGTTGTTTAATTTCCTCATAGGGTACAGTTTTTGCTATTGTTAACCATTATCATCATTTGTCATTTGTTTCAGGTTAGGTTAATAACAATTMATTACAGATAGTACGAGTTCATTTGAGATAAATGTAAAACAAAGGAGTAGTGATAGAGGAAAAAAAACACAAATTCTGTGAATTGAGAACAGAAACAGAAAACAATTCACTTTAAAACAAAAAGCAAATTTAAAAAACCCAACTACAACACAAGTTCTTTATGAAAACTTAGTTTTGATAACCCAAGTTTTATTAGAAAAATAACCCATATCTGATAATACTTTAAACTTGGCATGTTCACTTATATTCTATTTGAAATTTATTTTATTTTTACATCTTTATTGACTAATAAAATCTTACATAATTAAGGTATAGAATTTGATATTTTGGTATAAGTATACATTGTGAATGATAACCATAGTCACACTGACATAATAACTGACATAACCATCATTTCACAGTTATCATTTATTGTGATGAGAAAATTTAAGATTTATTCTCTTAATAAACTTCAGGTATGCACTAGTCATTATTAACTGTGGCTACCATTCTATAAGTTAAGTCTCTAGAGTATGCTCTTCAAGCATTACTGAAACGTTACACTCTGATCAACATCTCACCATTTCCCCTAAGCCACTCCCTCATATCTTGGTAACCTCCACTCCACTCTCTGCTTCTGTCAGTTCCCTGTGTGTGTGTCTGTGTGTGTGTGTGTGTGTGTGTGTGTGTGTGTGTGTGTGTTCCAGTATAAAGGTTTTGAGTTTAATTTGCTATGATTGCAATGGAATCCCCAAATGCACAAAATTTATTCTTATAGATATGGAAAAATGTGCAAGATTTAGCAGACCAATAAAGGCAAACTTGTAAAGTACCTTATAAAAATCAGTGTACTGATGTGTTTTGAAACTTTATGTATTTTCAATTTAATCTCACATAAAATCTCAAAATGTGATATACATTGAAAAATTAAYAAAAATTTGTTGATTCATATTAAATCAAATGTATATTTTATTGTTAATGGCTATTTGATATTTATGAACTAAAATAGTTTTATTTTGACAAAACACAATTTAAAGACAAAATTTTACTACAGTGCAAGATACTATCTCCCTATATTCTAAAATATTTTGGTGGAAAATTAAAAACCATAAATTTCTTCACGCATATGTATACACATATACATACATACACAAATGTTTCTGTGTGTTAACTTTAAGGACTYATGAAACTGACTCAATAATATTCTGTAAATAAAGAAAAAAATTTGAAAATAGAGATTGAATTTTTTTTTTCAGTGCTGATGATCAAACCCAGTGTGTTATGGTTTGGATCTGAGGTGTCCCCAAAAGCTCATGTGTGAAACAATGCAAGAATATTCAGAGGTAAAATGTGGGTTATGAAAGTGGGTTATGAAAGTGTGTGGGTTATGAAAGCCTTACCCAATCAGTAAATTAATTCCATGATAGGATTAACTGAATGATAACTGAAGGTGGGTAGGGTATGACTGGAAGAAGTGGGTCACTGGGGGCATGCTTCTGGGGTATATAATTGGTAAGCTGAGTTCAGTCTCTCTCTCTCAACTGCCTGATCATCATGTGAGCCACTTCCCTCTACCATTCTTTTCTGCCAAGATGTTCTGCCTCACTTGATCCCCAAGGAATGTAATCTGGTGTTTTTAATTGAGACCTATGAAACCATGAGCCCCCAATATAATTTTTCTCCTCTACAATTATTCTGGTCAGGTCTTTCAGTCACAGCAGTGAAAGTGCCTTGAGCTCAGGAGTTATAACCAAACTCTGAAAGTATAGTTGTGAGGTCGGTTTGAGGTGGCTAAGGGAACAAAGCACCGAGCAATAACCAATCAGATACCAACAGACAAGCAGTGATAAACACCTGTCAATCAGTGGGATCTCCTGACCCTAGAAGGACCTGGAGCTCAGCAAGATCCCCCAACCAACCCCAGGAGGACAAGGAACCCTAAAACCCTCCCTTCCTGTTCSACGCTCTCCCTTCCTGCCCTAAATCCCAATAAAATTCCAGTCCAGCTGAGCCTGGGCATGTCTCCTCTGAACCCACTCTGTTGGACTGGAGGGTCTCGCCCTGGAGCGAATCTCAATAAAGCCTTGTATAGCAGCTTTTAATCTGCCTCCTTTTGTCACCAGTGCCTGACCTTACAATAGTGATCTCACAAGAAAATCCAATTTTCAAATATTCCACACATTCCTGGCAATGTTTGATAAAGCAAATTATCATAATCATCAGTCAACATTCATATAATATTTTTGAGGCCTATTCCAAAAAATAAAATGATTAATTGTTTTAGATACATGTGCATCAGTCATAGAAGTTGGTTTCCAAAATAAATGAAAATGTGTTTTAATATTAACAAACTCATATGTAATGCTAGGAAAAATATTTCAGTACTGGTTCTGTAACAGTGATTTTG